CGCTTCAAACGGGACATGAATCAGGATCTTACGCTTTACTTTACTTTTCCTTTTCTCCTGATAAGAGTATTTTCGTTAATGAATCAAAGATACTTGACTCAAAACTGTTTTGACATATAAAACGAATTCGTTAAAACTCAGGGAATTCGCAATTTTTTCAGTTCGCACTGACTGCCCTATGCTTTCAATGCCTCGTCTGAAATCAGGTTGTACAATGCTGACGATTGTCGACGAGCGAGGCTGTCCAATGCCAAAAATTGTTTGCAGCAAGGAGAATCTCAGTTAGTGTATTTTCTTGCTCTATTTTTCTCATTTTCATCAAGGCACACTCCATGATTAGGCAATAGAGCAATCTGTCCCGCGAGTTGCACAGATTCGCTTACAGGAGAAATGCGTTGCTGCCTGTTAGACAGCGTCCAGACTTCGTGGCGACAGCGCTTTGGTGCGCGTTCAACACAATCAATACGCATGTTTTCGATTTCATCAATCGCGTCGAACGCGCGACCGAAACCCTGTCGTCGCGAAGTCAGAACGCTGCTTTATCTCGCCCGTCTTTATGCTTTCTCTCCCCTTCGTGAAGTGCGCTCACTGTTTCTCTACTGTATTCTCATACTATACTCAGAAAGAAGCGCGGAAAAGACGGCTCATTATACAGTTTCCGGTGTTCCCTTGCTTCTTCTTCATGCGCGGCCACTTAGCAAGTACGATTGCTCATTATTACCCCAATGCACTAATCCCGCTAAAAAATGTTACTTCAACGGCTATTTGTCCAACGTTGACTGAGAGCAAAAACAGACTGCTACTTGAAGATGGCAACCTAATCGGAAGAGAATCAACATGGACTTTACCAAAGCCACCATTTCAGAATGTGGATCGATTTACTGTGAGCCTGGATATGAATGCGATCACGACACGACCACTTGTATTCCAAGAAGAGACTGCCCTGGTCTGGTTCTTCCGAAACAGGAAGGATGCACCGATCGAATGGTATGGTTTTTGGTGGCTCATCCGTGGTGGTTGTGTACTTCCATGAGGGTCGAAATCAAAACGCTAACCTAGAAACGCTGACGCACTGTACCTGCGCAAAAGATACGCTCTAAATCTTGAGCGGGGGACTGTGTGGGAAGCGTTCTACACTTTAACATGGTGAAGGATGCATTTTTCGCAGGATATTTCTTTTCGAGTCAACTATTATTCTGTCTTGTTGTGGATCAAGGCATGGTTGCAATTACCTGAAAACAGGAATGGGGTGGGGGGGGGGGCAAGTATTCATATAGAAGA